CAGCATGATGCTCTCCAGTCCCTCCCAAGTTAGGTAGTGATTTACAAAATCATTGCTCCTGCGTGCTACATAGTATTCCATTGTGTGACTGTCCCATCATTTCTCAATCCATTCCATTGTGGTTGGGCATTTGGGCTGTTTCCATGTTCTTGCGATGGTGAATAATGCTGCTATGCACACTGGTGTGCAGTTCTCCGTGTGAGCCTCAGATTTCATTTTCTGAGGGTATATTCCAAGTAGTTGAATAGCAGGGCCATATGGAATTTCTATGCTCAGCTTTTTAAGGAAGCACCAAACAGCCTTCCAGAGTGGTTGTACCATTATACAATCCCAGCAACAATGTATAAGAGTTCCTTTCTCACCACATCCTTTCCAGCATCTGTTACTTGCTGTCCTGTTAAACTTTGCTGCTGTTACTGGAGTGAGATTGTATCTTGTTGTGGTTTTGATTTACATCTGTCTTGTTGTCAGTGATTTGGAGCATTTCTTCACGTGTTTGTTGCCTATTCAAATGTCATCCTCTGTGAAAATTCTTTCCATGTCTTTTGTCTATTTTGTAATTGGATTAGCAGTCTTTTTCTTCTGGAGGCCTTGTAGAATTCTCTAAACTTTGGATATGAGACCCTTGTCTGAAATGGTATTGTCAAATGTTTTTTCCCTAGTTTTTTACTCTGTTGGGAAAAATTGTTTGATGAGCACAGGGATTTAATCTTTAGAAGGTCCTATTGGTGAAAATGTTAGCCTCTCCAGACTCTGCACTTCTGCCTGTACTTGGCAGTCTCTTTAGCTTGGTCACCATTAGTCTCGTGAACTTTATGGTTTTGGGCTTTGCTCCCAGGTCTCTGATCCACCTTGAGTTGATTTTTGTGTAGATGGTGTGAGATGTGGATCCTGTTTTAGCTTTCTGCAGGGAGCAGTTCGGTTTTGCCAGCACCTTTTGTTAAAGAGGTTGTCATTTCCCAATTTGATAGGTTGTGTTTCCTTGTCAATTATCAGTTGACCATAGGTAGCCGGGTCTATTTCTGGGTTCTCAGTTCTGTTCCATTAGTCTGTGTGCCTGTCATTGGACCAGTACCAGGCTGTTCTGGTTACTGCCGCTGTGTAGTAGGTTTTGAAGTCAGGGAGTGCTATGACTCCCACTTCATTTTTGTTTCTCAGAAGCGTTCTGCTCATTCTGGATCTGTTTCTTGTCCAGATAATCTTGACAGTTTCCCTTTCACTCTCCTTGAACAGTGAGTTTGGTATCTGCATTGAGATTTCCATACTTCGTTCTTGGGTGCTTCTCTCCAGGGCCTGGGGTGAACCTCGTACACTTTGCAGCGTTCATAGCTGAGGGGCGTCTGTACCTGTGAGTGGCCCATGAAGCAGCCTCTTGTGCACTGAGATGGCAGAGCTGTTTAGCAGAGTCCCCAGAGGTGGCTCAGTGACTGCCCCATGGGGTCGCTGGCCAGACCTCCCACGGTCATGAAGTCTGCAGGTGTCCACATCCTGGCTCACGGGGGCCCAGATCTGACTTCAGAATCCTCCACCTGTAACCCATCCAGACTCCCCTTCCCGAGCGGGGGCCACGGCTTCATCTCCACATGCTTGAGTCCCCAGCTCACTCCGTGGGTGCGTGACTCCATCCATGTGTCGCAAGTGGGCCACTAGGGATTTCTGTAAACGGAGGAGCAAAGAGCAGCCGCACTGCATCGTGGGACGTTGGTGCTGTGTCCACGCCCTGGAGGCCGAGCACCCGGGCCGCCCACTGTCCCATCAGGAGCCTCCTCTCCCCCATCTCGGATCTAAGGCACGAACCCACCAAAGTCCACGGGCAGTGGGATGCAGAGAGGAATAGGGCTCTGAAGCCGGCACCAACTCCGGATGCTCCGTGTCAGTCAGGCTCTGGGCCGTGCTGGAAGCCTCGGTCCTCCCTGCCTGGCTCTGTTTCTAGGTGCAACTAGACCGCAGGTGTGCAAGGCAGAAGGCGGGATCCTCGCCCCTGGACCTCGGACATGTGTGGTGGAAGGTGGAAGGCGAGATCCTTTCCCCTGGACCTCGGACGTGCGAGGTGGAAGGTGGGATCCTCGCCCCTGGACCTCAGACGTGTGGTGGAAGGTGGAAGGTGGCATCCTCACTCCTGGACCTCAGACATGTGTGGTTGAAGGTAGAGGGCATGATCCGCACCCCTGGACCTCGGACGTGCGAGGTGGAAGGTAGAGGGCCTGATCCTCTCCCCTGAACCTTGGACATGCCTGGTGGAGGATGGACGGTGGGATCCTCTCCCCTGGACCTCATACATGCCCGGTGCAAGGTGGGATCTTCACGCCTTGGACTCGGACATGTCTGGTGGAAAGTGGGGTCCTCATGGCCTAGACTTTGGACGTGCATGATGGAAGGTGGGGTCTTCACCCCTTGGATCTCAGACATGCCTGGTGGAAGGT